ATTAATAAAATTGTTTCTTCTTGCTTTTACTCCAGTACATGAAATTACCGATGGCTTTGACTTAATTGCCAATCAATTCGACAATGACGCCGATGATTTACTTGATTATTTTGAAAAGACATGGATTGGCGAACCAAAAAGAAGAGGTAATATTTTTCTTTATTCTTAAGAAATATGAAATATCATTGAGTTTTTTTGGGAACTGGTCGAAAGAAGCCTCAATTTAATCACAATTTATGGAATGTCCATGATCGTGTCGTTGCTGCTCTACCTCGTTCCAATAATTCGGTTGAAGGCTGGCATAATGCATTCGCAAGTCGCGTCGCAATGAATCATCCTGATATTATGAAACTGGCAGAGAAAATCCGTCGTGAACTTGCCGCCATATCGCTTGCAAAAAATGAAAGAAACACCCTATAAAAAATATACTGATTATTATTTTGTTTTTGTGAGAATATTACAAAATACCTTTATGTAAAACATTTGGCAACATTTCTCTGACAGATTTGATTGTACCAGTTTCGAAATCAATCATGATTGATTCAGGTTGAAATTCATCTTGCACTAATACTTTTTCGAAAAATAAATTGTAATCTTCAGTGCTTTTACCAATTAACAATCCATATACAAGGAAGATAATTGTATTAGTCATCATCGCGTGCAACGTGAACAATTGATAATAATCGTCAGGACACACCTACATCAAAGAAAATTAGAAAAAAAAGACATAAATTTCTAATTAGTAACTTACTTTGAATGTTCCATCAGCGAACCAATGTTTATTTTGCTTCAAGATAGATAAATTTGTTTGTGTTGTAAAGATAATTAAATTTTTATCTTCGTATAAGATGAAGTCTTCATCGCGATACGTTTTTCTTAATTTTTCTGGTAAACGACCATCGACATCGACCGTTTCACCAGTACGCTGTCGTCGAATCATTAGCATAAGTGCTTCATTTTTCGGAAGTTCACCAGCGGCACTCAATGGATACGTACGCAAAACAGAATGAATAATGGTGCTGGTTGATTCATCTGTTGTTACGGCACGAGCTTTTATTTCATTTTTTAATTGGATAACAGGTACACGATCAGGTTGAGGAGCATGGCAGTGGGCTGTTGGTTGTGAGAGAAATATGTCCATAGATAAATTGGTATGACATCGAGCTTTATAGATCAAAAAATTTTATTTTAATTGCCTGACAATAAGTGTTAATTTACCTTTACAATCCCGAGTCTGACAACGAAAAATCAATTTCGTCGATGTTGTACGTTCTACAGTGTATATATAACCTTCGTGATGAATCATTGGTTTTCCTTTTACAGAAAGAAGCTTCTCAATTTGAGACATTTTAAGTAAAGAGTAGTTTGCAGTGAGAGTTGATATTGATAAATGAAATGTATTTTTTTTTCTACCTTTATATTTAAGGTTATTATTTCAGTGCTTATCTTTTCTCTGGATTATGTTAAAATTGATTAACCGAGTAACAAATCTAATTGTTCACCATTCAATTTTACTCTTTTACGATGATATATGACCATTCGTTTTGTGATCCGCCTTTTCAATTAGAGTGATTAGTGTTGGAATGATTATTTGTCTATAGTAACTGTACATATTTCATAGGATTTTTCTTTCCTTTTAGTTCAATTGGTTATACAAAAAAAAATGATTAATTAAGTGAGATACAGCAAGTAGAGAGAGAGAGAACGAGAGTAATTACTCTGCAACGAACAGAACGCGACAAAATGTTATGCGACGAAGTGAACAGTCACCATAAAAGATTCAGGTGCTTCAGTTGCGGATGCAAGGAAACGATGAGTAACTAGTGTCTCTGCAGAACCTTGGGATGAAGAATGGATAGGAGGAAAGCGATCCTGCTATGGGCATCCTATACCTAATTGCTTTACTAGTGATCGTAAGAGAGGTTGGAGCTACAAAATTCAAATGTGTACGAAAAATTACAATGGTGAATGGCATCGCAATACAATGGAAACATGGCAACCTGCTGGTAGTGCAGGTGACGTTTTTCAAAGTGAAGATACTTTACATATGCAGCACGGCACTTTGAAATGGTTGTGGTTTGAATATAGTGGCACGCACTGCATTAAATATTTGTCAGTGAGTTGTGGGTATCAGGTTCTTAACGAATGGAAGCTACTCAATTTTGTGATTGGTGCAGACCAACTCAAATCACTCTATCGAAAAAAAGCTTCCATTAGTGGCATTCAAAAATGTGAACCAGAAAACGCAGGTGTTAGAACAGACGGCGTACAGATTTCGTTCACCGTGCCTAGAGCGGCTTTAACGTGTAACGATAGAGACATGAATTGCATCAAACAACACATTTTATTTGATTCCAATTGGATCAACGATTATGGCTAGACAAGAGAATCATCGACAAGTCACATATACCTGGCTCTGGTTTTATAATATTGACAAACGAGTATCGTTTCTTCTAATCGTCTCACTCTCATTGTGTTACTTTTGGCAGACTTCCAATTACCGCCGATTAACTCATGAACAGTTTTGTGCTTTTGCCTTATCTTTGTTTGTGGTATTTGTTTTTCTCTCTATGCTGTACTAACTCTCTCTACACCGATAAAAAACCATGAGTTGTATTGAACCAAAAACGCTTTTTCACCTTGATACACTGTCAGACCCTTTAACCCTTTCGCCATGCGGTTTTATTCGTGAAAATGAAAACGGGAGTACGACTGTTGTGTGTAAGACAATTGTGTGTTAGATATTTGTGTGCAGATACTTGTTTGCAAAATGAATATCTGCTATGTGTAAATGAATATCTTTTGTCAAAAAGTGAAGAAGACCAAGTTGTTGACTCACTTCAAATATTAAAAACGATCCAAATCTTAATTGCCTGAGTTGTATTGTAGCAATTGTTCTTTTCTGTAAGAGCAAATGAGTCGGTGGTATACATCTCTGATATTGATTGAGGATTTGCTGGAAATTTTATATATGCTGCACGTTATCGGCAGACAATATGCTTCATGTTTCTGATAAGTGGAAACCCGCTTAGCACAGCAGCAGATGCTGTAGCAATTGATGTGGCAACGATTGAACGTATTGCCATTGTTATTTTAGATAGGTCACGAATCTCAAAATGACATTGACGAACGCCACTTATACTCGGATTTGGAGCACGATTGTTGTCACCAACTCGATAACAAATTGTGTTTTTAGTTGTATGCAATCTAGCTTTACATTTCTGTTTGTTGCATTGTATACATCGCCACTATACTTTATTTTCATGAGTACATTCTTGAATGTAATCAAAACCACTCTCAATCAGGAACAGCTTATCTTTTTCAGTTTGAGAAAATAAAATTGACATGATGTATTCGTACTTTCAATCTGATCTATATAATGATCAATTTTGAATGAACGTAAATGGATAACGTCTTCTTATTCTCAATTGTTTAAATACTTTCAAGAAAAAATGATCATTACTATAGGCTCTCTTTCTTTAGTATTTATCAGTACAAATAAAATCGATCGACGTGCATGCACAGTCATAGACCCAATGAAGACATCTTTCTTGAAAAATTCTAGTGTAAGCTTCTCACTTTCATATATTGATCTTTCATTTTGATTTGAGAGATTCACTATGAACGATATGCAGAATATTTTTGAATTCTAAATTTACCTGACGAATCGGCAAACCTAAATTTGGTCGAAAGTGAAAATGTCGAAATGAAAAATATCGAAATAAAATAATTTTGAGGGTGTGGGTGTGACTGTTGGTGTTTGCTATTCCTCTTTACCTACACCCACACCCACACCCACACCCACACCCACACCCACCCACACCCCCGAACCAACTAAGAGTATATCATTCCCAGCTATGTCCTATCTAATCATCACATGGCCGATCAAAAACCTTTTTGACACCTCGGGTATTTCCCGCGTAAGTTTGGAAGATGTACTTACCTGATCGAATTCTGATGGTCCAAAGATCATGCATAGAATTGTTCTGTCGTTCGTTTGCATCGAGATTCTATGAATGGCTTTATTCTATGAAATCTTCGCACTATGACACTTGTTGTGTTGCATAACTAAATAATCGTATATTTTATGTATGGATATATTACGCATAAAAAATGATGACAAAATAAAATCAAGAATATTTTAAGGATAAAAGAATAGCAGAATATAAACAGTAAATAAGATGTGTAAAGAAGAATAAAATAATTTTTGGGTGTGAGTGTACATAAACAGAAAATCAAAAGCCACTACACCCACACCCTCAAGTACTTCTCACAAGGTCTCTCAGAAGCTGTCTGTTTCCTCTTGAAGTGTCTGTATGAAAAGGACAAAACAAAAATATAAGAAAGGAAAAGAGAGAATATGGCTCACGTTATTCCTTTGTAGGAAATCAAATAAAAATTCTGCTGCTTTGCTGCTGAATGGATTCTGGTCAAGTTTTATTGTTTTAAGTGTCTGTGTAAAGGTGAAAATGAACATGAGTGAAATTTGAAACTAGTGAGAGTTACCGTGTAATTTTGCAAGGCATTAACAATATGCTCTGCTCCTTTGTCTCCGATTGTATTGTCACTTATATCTATTTCGGTAATTGTCTGTATGTATAGGAGTCGGACAATACCAAATAGATGGAGACAAACTGTGATTTACCTGGTTATATCGTAAAGCATCAGCGATATATTCTGCAGTTTTGTCCCCAATATAGTTCAGTCTAAAGTCTACCTTGGTAAGTGTCTGCAAACTGAAGAAAATAGACACAAAAGAAATGAAGATGGTGTGCAAATCACCGTATTAGCTCGAAAGACGTCAGCCAGATATCCTACTCCTTTGTCTCCGATCATATTAGCACCAAGTTCTATTGCAGTGAATGTCTGTTTGTAGAAAAAAACCGAATATGAAATATATAAGAACAGAAAGAGCGTCACTGAATTGTCTTCGTAGAATATTGGCGAAATGTTGTGCTCCAATAGGTCCTATTCCATTGTTAATAAGACTCAGTGAGGTGAGTGTCTACATGAATAGAACAAAATAAATATGAAACTTTTCAACGCAATTCCTTGTACGATTAAAATATGAAACATGATAAAATCTGTTGTACTGATACCAAGCAGTCGTTAAAAGTAGGAATTCAGCGAAAATTATAGACCAGTTTGATTATAGATAAATATTACATCTTACCCGTCACCACCGATGCAAACAATTTTTGAAAAAAAACGAGTCTAAGCCATGATTCACTTGGGTCGAAATCGCAGCAACTGAATGCATCGAGACGCATTCAAAGCGAAAAATTTGTTGTGTCTGACCACAATTCAAACTGACTCCGCATCAAGACATAGTCGACTGATATTTCAAATTTGAAAACAATACTACAATTCGTCTCACGTTTGATCTGAGCCACCAGCGATAAATGGATCATCCATTCCCAACCTGTAACTCCATAATGTCGGTGAGAAAAGTCCTATGTACGAAAAATTTTGATAACTAATATGATTATCGATTTACTTTCAGTATTAAAACAAATTGTATCAAAAACTTGAATGATATAACTTTTGAAAGACATTCAGTGGTCGAAAGAAATTGTTGGAAAAATATCTATTTCTTTCATTCTAAAACTTTACCATGTCTATTTTTGGATAGCAATATATTCGCACTTATTTTATTGTTCTCAAGACTGCATCTGCTTTTATTTTTTTCCAAAAAATTCTGACATTTTGAGAATTAGATTTTCTTCACAACGAATATATTTGATATATAACTGTGACATTAATTTTTTGTTTTCAGTGGAAGACTAAACGTTCGATTTTTTTAATAACTGAATAACGCAGTTTTAAGTTCAACCTCGTCTGGACACAAGAAATTTTTACTGGAAACACTACTTAGAATAAAACTGCGTTACAAATTTACACGTGACAATAGATAAATCACTGGAATCGTGTTCACACTCAAAGAATATATCACGAAGGACACAATTTCAAACACAAGTAAATTGGAAAGTATTGAAGCCTGAATCTTACTACTAAGTGAGAAACACATTCGAATGCAGGATTTTTGCGTTTCATGTTTACATGAGTACGAACGGAATTTTGGTATTTGCTATCTCAGAAGTCTTGTTGTACTATAAAACAAATGTGCTATTTGGACAAAGAACAAAAGTACTATCTATTATACGTATTTGGAATATTTCACAGTTCTATGTTTCTGTTCACCACAACTTCTGTCGCATTTATAGAAGATGGAGAAAAGCGAGCAGTGGGTAATGGGTTCAAAACTGCAACTCTAAGCTCCTTAACACTTATTTTAGATCATCTTTCACAAAAGAGATAAAGAAAGGATTTGAATTACTTTGTTATGTC